ATATATATATATATATATATATATATATCGCAATAATGGCTCTTACATCTATTAATTCACAATCATCTTTGGCATATAAATGTCTTAAGAGATACCATCGGGCAACTGATGCTACAGTTTCTGGAAATCCAGAATGATATACCACTCTCTCTAACATACGACGTGTTTCTCTACAAAGAAAACAGAAAAAGTGTAATACTGATTAGATGTTATAAGATGTGATGAGAAAATGGCAAAATAAGCAATCTATAGCATTTTAAATATTCAAATATATACTTATATTTACATGAATTTATGTTTGCAAGTAAGCATGAATTTCACTAACTACAAAAGAGCAGAAAAATTTATATCCTGAAACATAAAACTAAATATAGCACATCATTAACAGAATGAAATGCTGAACTGATCCATTAGAAGGACGCAGAAACTAGATACCATCAACATCCTGTTGAACAGTTGTTGACTGTCTACAGGTGAGAAAATGTCTTCATTATCACTCTATCAGATTGCCCCAGTTCAAAGAACATTTCCAGGCAAGTGAAACAACTGTATGAGCAGCCAGAAGTACTGTTTGAGTTTCCTATAACAGTTCCCACTCCTAAAGAGAAGAACTATTCTGCAGTTTTAAAAGGCTTCTTTGACAATTAAACTTTCACACCAACCTCAGTTTGCAAGAACCATGTCCTTACTCACAGGGAAACAACTAGTTTGGATCTTGGCCATTACGGATATTGCCTCCATCAACCAAGAATCTTTTCTGTGTCTTAATATAATTTTACACTTTATGACAGCAACCCTCAACTATCTTTTATTTTATGCCATCTAGACATTTTTGAATTAAAGATATTCTCATTACATAAAAATGTAGCCACATTCATGAATGGATGTAATGTAATAACAAACCAATACACACCGTGAACCCATTTTACGATTGTACTGCATAAGTGCTTGAAATAGAACACCCAGTGGGCAGAAGGAAATTTTCATAGCTTCTGTTGTGGCTTCTTGAACTAGAGATGGCCAGTGATCATTTGAAACATTGGCCTTTAAACAAAACACAAAAAAACCCAGTTACTTACATTAAGCACCATTGTACAATAGCAATTAAAACTATAAATGGTTTTATAATATGATATATACCATCTTTTCCAACCACCTCCATATGGGACTTAATTAGTGTGAAAAGTAACATAGAATTCTAACATATTGAAGTAGCTTTCTAGTACTTTTAGTACAATGGATTAGCCAAAGCTACTAATGTTCCTAAATATTTGTTTAAATCTATTTTCTATGAAACTCTTTTCTCCATATCATGGACAAAAAGAGGCCTTCATTCATGAATAAATACTATTTTGAAAATGTCATCAGTATCTTCTTTCATAAGTTCTATGATTTCTCATTGATCAAAATATTCTCCTGTATAAAAATCACTGAATGTGACCCACCATCCAAAACTATACTCCTTGCCATCAATTATATTAATGAAACATTTTGACAAAGTATTTTTGACTCCACTAACAGAACAGTGACCTGACTTCCAGCAGGATGTATTAAAGAGAAATCACTGGCTGTTTTAGCAGTATGTATGCGCTGTTAACAACTGAATTGCTGGAATTGTAAAATATCAAAATTCATCTCTCTAATGTTTAATGACAAGTAGCAAAGTAATTCAAGCTCCAACAGGTACAATCTTGACAGTGTGGAACACCTGTTCTTTTAACAAGTGTAAAGCTCTAAGAACAGTTCATAGCTCATAAATGCTATTATTTTATAGTACATTTGTGATGAAATCTGATTAGCATAATTTACCTTATACAATTTGCATAGACAAAACATCTTGCCTGTATACTTTCTGATTCCTCCCATAATAGTTAATTGAGAAGAACTAGTTTATATTTTAATCTCAGATTACTGCAGTTAACTGACTTTGTCATTTAGCAATTTAAACCTCTTACCATACAGATTTCCAGGGCAAGTTTAGCAAGTCTTAGAAGACTAGAGAGTTTCCCACTCAAGTTGCCTTGCTGGGATGCCAACTTTAGACTTTTTCGGTAACACATCTCTGCAGCAACCATCATTCCCTGTGACTGATAGACTTGTGCCAACCACTGGAGAAAAAGGAATCAAATCCATTGCTCAAAAGCGTGATTTATATTTAATTCCTAGTCTTTAAACATTACTATAAGCATTGTATTAAAGGCGAAATTTTGAACAGCTAAGGTTGTTTTAAAAGAAGTAAAATATCTGAAACTCAAAATAAAGGGACTTAGAAAATATTTAACTCAATAATCTGGAATTTCATATAGAGATTTCCTGAAGG